AGTGATGAGGAAAATACCTCCTATTTCCTGATAATGTGTTGTTGACGAGAGAACGACACGTGCACTTTACAACATAAAATTATTGTAAAGATCTTCTATTTGTATACATTAAAAAGTCTGTGTTCCATTGTTACACGGTGAGATCCGTTTATTTTTTTTGTAGGATGAGTAAGTATAAAACTGTGGTGGACGTAAGCAACGGACGCAACAATATAATAAAAACTGAATAAAAATAAAATAATAATGAAGACTATACTATATAAAATATGTATAATAGTATATAAAAATATGTATAATACAAGTGAATATTATAAAATTTGTAAAAGTTGTACATATGTCCTTGATATTAAACTTTGGAATATGACGCTTTTGTAACGATATTCGTGAAAACAAAATTACTTACATGCACTGTTAAGTTAGGTACAATTATTTCGCAATTAGGCGTGACTATCGGTACATTGATTAGACTTATACTACCATCCATGCTTTCGCGTACGATTCCTGACAAACAATAATATTATGTATTCACATAATTATAAAAAAATGTAATAATGTTTAAATAACTAATATTTAATTATTGATATTATGACTATTAAATTGTTAGATTTACAATACTACTATTAAAATATAGAAAATTTTTTTATGTCTTAAATATCAAAATATTAGATTTTATAATTTTATACATACATATAAAATCTTTAATAATTATCATCTTTAATAATTATATTATAATACAAAGCTAAAATAATATTTTAATAATTTCATAATTTGATCACAAAACCATAAAATACTAATTTTATTAAAATTAGGTATATTAATAGTAACAAATAATGCACAATATAAATTAATAATAATAAAATTAATTTTATTAATAAAGTTTTATCATTTAGTTTAAATATAAATCAATTTAAATCATTGATTTACCTTTTATCACTGGTGTACCATTATTGAATTCGAGTACTTTTTCCGCGAATTGTTGAGCATTGCCGTTCGGAAGAGATCTCGATGGGCTGCTAGTCGTGACAACGTTTCTTTTATACTTGCAAAGCGCAGCATCTTTAAACACATCTAACATTTCGCTGACGCGCGCTGCGTAGCCTGCTAATGCGACTAATTCCTGTTTTAAAATTAATTTAAACAATTTTAGTTGCATTTTTGGCATTTTTAACTCTGTTTTATTCAAATTAATTTTTTATCTTATATCACAAGCGCAGAAAGAATAAAAAAAAAAAAAAAACA